AGATAGATAGATAGATAGATAGATAGATAGATAGATAGATAGATAGATAGATAGATAGATAGATAGATAGATAGATACCATAGAGATGAAGATGGATGGATGGATGGACAGAATTTCTATGGCTAAAGGAGGCCATTTGTGAATCCAGTCACATTTGATTTTATGACTTGATTTTTAAATCTGGACAGGTTCCCATGAGGTCATCCAGTCCAGCCCCAGCTTCGAGCAGGACCCCCAACAAAACCCACCCAGGCCAGACGGCCATCTGAACGTCATTCTGAGAGGTCCCACTTACAGCGCCTGGACCTTCTGTCCCTCAGTCAGTCCGGCCCCCTCCATCATGAAGATGCAGCCGGTCAGCGGGGTGGGGAGGGGGTTGGTCAGGGTCAGCTCGGCCACCAGTTTGCGCTTCTGCATCGGCTCGCCCAACACCTGCAGGTCGGAAAGAGGAAAAGCAGCGCCCTCAGTTCGAATTCTGGCAGGGACTCCTTGACTTATGACCACATTGGAGCCCCAGATTTTCTGTTGCTAAGCGAGACAGCTTAATATTATTTTATCAATTTATAATATAAAATACAAATATACAAAAGATAATAAGGGAGGGAGAAGGGAAGGGAAAAGTGTAAGGAAAGGGAGAAGTAGAATAAGGTCCATGCAGTCCCCAACTTAGAACGGTTTGTTTAGTGACTACTCAAAGCTACAACGGCACTGAAAAAAGTGACTTATGACCGTTTTTCATACATGGATGGATAGATGGATGAATAGATGATAGAGACAGATAGATAGATGGATGGATAGATGGATAGGTGATGGATAAATATAGATTGATGATGGATGGAGGGATAGATAGATAGATAGATAGATAGATAGATAGATAGATAGATAACAGATGGATAGATAGATAGATAGATAGATAGATAGATAGATAACAGATGGATAGATAGATAATAGATGGATGGATAGATAGATGGATGGATGATTGATAGATGATTGATAGATGGATAGATGATAGATGGATAGATAGATGGATAGATGGTAGATGGATAGATGGATGATTGATAGATGATAGATGGATAGATAGATGGTTAAATCAATAGATGGATAGATGGATAGATGATAGATGATAGATGATAGATAGATGATAGATGGATAGATAGATGGTTAAATCGATAGATGATAGATGGATAGATAGATGGATAGATGGATAGATGATAGATAGATGGATAGATAGATGGTTAAATCAATAGATGATAGATGGATAGATGGATAGATGATAGATGGATAGATAGATGGATAGATGGATAGATGGATAGATGATAGATGGATGGATACATAGATAGTAGATGGATAGATGGATGATTGATAGATGATAGATAGATGGATAGATAAATGATGGATGGATGGATGGATAGATAATAGATGATAGATATATGGTAGATCTGAATAGATAAATGATAGATAGATTAGGATGAATAGATAGATACATAATAGATGATAGATGGATGGATAGAGATGGATGGATGGATGGATGTGAGCTCCGAGCCTTCCCAATGGTTATTGCAGCCCCTGCCCCCCCTCTGCCTGAAGTCCCTGACCCCCCCCCCATCTTCTCCTCGTGGAAGGGACCCTCCTTCCTTGCCAGGTCCTCCCCAAAGTGTCTCACCCGGATTTTGATGTCGGGGTTCTTGACGTGGAAGTCCCGCACCTGGAGCAGGATCTTCTGATTCTCTGCCTGCTGCAGGACCGCCGTGACTTTGATCATGTTGTCCGCAGTGAGGCAGCCAGCGTATTTCTCGTAGAGGATGCGCAAGGGCACCGACTTTTCTGCAGAGGAAGACATGGAGGGAGAATCGTCAGAATCCGGCTCGGCTTTGACGCTGGGAAAACGTTGCGTGTCGTTGGGGCTTCATAGAGATACGTTTTTTTTTCCATGCTGTTTTATGGTTTGATACGTTGGATATTCATGGAATTGTTGTTACAGTTCATTGATAGGTTGTTTGCTTGATTTAGACCGAAGAGGCACCTTTAAGACTTGTGGACTTTGACTCCCAGAATTCCCCAGTGTTGTGGTCCGCCGGCAGCCTGCAGAGACGGCAGCAGACGGACAGTGGGGAGGAACAGGGACCAGTCCTGGAATTTGGGGAGGATTGGGACGATGGATCTGCATCCAATACAGAAATGGGGCGAGGACCATCTGGGAGTTGTGTGCTGATTCTCGAGCCAGATGAGTCTGGCAGCAGCAAGGCAGAGGAACCAGGGGAGCCTGTTCCCAGTGCGCGTGTGCACAAAGCTGCCAGAAGGCAAGAACAGTTGAGATAAAAGGGGCGATTTGGGAGTAAGGCTGGGAGGTGATTGCCCCTCCCATAAGACACCAAGGAGGAGCAAAGGGACGTGAGCCTTTGCAGGAAGCAACTTTGTTCATACTGGTTGGTTTGAAACCTGAAGCTCCATGTTGAATTTTTGCTCCGTTTGGCCTTGTATTGGCAGCATTTCAAGGGAGATAAAGGTGGGTGCTGATCAGAGTTATCCCGAAGGACTTTGCCAGACTTCCACAAGACTCTTTACAAACTATTTTGGGACTCATTACGGGCTGTGAATGTCTGAAATTCCCAGACGTTGAAATAAAGAAAAAAGGGTTGGGGGACTAACGTGTGTTTGTTAGTATCTTAATAAGCCTTGGTCAGAACACTCAGCCAGCACCTTCAACCTTGGGAACTTTAAGACTTGTGGACCTCAACTCCTAGAATTCCCCAGCCAGCACCTTCAAACTTGGGAACTTTGGGGATTATATACTATTATTATTTTTTGATGGTTTGATCTGTGTCTCTTTTATGTTTTATTATTAAATTTATATGTCTCCCATATAAAGCGACTCTAGGCGCTCCCACAATTGATTTCTTAAAACAACGTACAGATAATTTACAACATACAACCATTCATTTAATATCCGTTCACAGTTACAATGGCACTAAAAAAATAAAGTGAATTACGACAGGCCCTTGGCACTTACAACCATCGCAACGTCCCCATAGTCACACGCTCAAAACTTGGGCGCTTGACAAGCAGTGTGTATGCACCATCGTGGTGGTAGCATCCCAGGGTGACGTGAGCCATGTTTGCGACCGCCCCAGCCATCTTGCCAAAAGCAAAAATCAATGGGGAAGCCAGATCTGCTTAACATACCTCATTATTCCCTTAACAATTGCAGCTGTGGTAAAATGCTACCGGTTTGGCCCGGTTCACCCGAACTGTCCTTCCACGCACCCCTGCGCTTTTCTGTTCTTTATCCTCTCAACTGATTGGTGCCATACAGTCTCAGCTGGTGTTTGGAAAAACTGTGCATGCATTGATGATCATATGACTGAATGGGCTTGGCTTGCTGACTGGGTGTGGCTTAGTGGTCATGTGACTGGCTGGGCATGGGCTGGGCATGTAAATATTGTAAACATTTATGTAAATATTTATTGTTTTATTTTTAAAAAAGAGCAACTTTCACCCCAAATCAGGCAAAGCAGGCAGGCAGATTGAGTTGCTCACAGAATCACAGATTCACTCAGAGATCTACCCTTCTGCTATCTGCTGCCTGAGTCTGCGCTGAAAAATAGAAGCTAGGAAGGTTCAGCTCTGCTTTTAGATTAGTTAGAAAGCAAGAAATCTGACGGTTTCCTGCTGTCTAGCTAATCTAAATCTCCCGGCACAGCTGATCGTTGGAACAGCTGATGATCGGGAAAAAAAATGGAAAAATAGCAACTTATCAAAAATTAGGTGAAGGCACAATGCAGGCAAGTTGGATGGTGTGCATGCCAGGTAAGGAGTAGGCGGGGTGAGGCCAGCCAGTGGTGCAATTTGCCGGCTCTCTGAACTGTGCAGAATCATAACAACCGGTTCTATAGAACCGGTGTGACCAGGTAGAAACCCACCGCTGCTGCCGGACACTAAACTGACTCTGGATGCTGCCTAATACAACTGAGATAATGAAAAGAGAAGCCAAGGACTGTGAAAGATGTAGAGAGGAAGAAGGTCCAGGAATCCCTGGCAAAATCCTACGGATTTCCACCAGAAAATCCCCCCTTGGGTTTCTTCCTGCACCTCACAGCTTCTTAAGACATTTGCTCCGTCAAAGCAGCTGCAAAGGAGTTTTAAATGCAATGCATTTAATTCGTGGAGGTCAATCTGAAGTCAGAGCAGTTTCCCTGCTCTACCTACATCCCAAAATAGCTGCACGCAGGAAGATCTGAGCTCCCCTTGGAGTGGGGGTTGCAGCCCTTCCCAGCTATGGAAAAAAACACGTCATACTTTCCTGGAGAGAAAGACAGAAAGAGAGAGAGAGAGAGAGAGAGAGAAAGAGAGAGAGAGGAGGATCAGCCTTGCCCAGAGCCTCTCTCTTGGTTCATCCAGCTTTTGATTCCAAAAGTTTTCTGCAGAATCTGGACTTCAGCCGCAAGCTTTATCCAGAGGAAGGACTTCTATTCCTAAGATGTATATTGCCTGTCCTTCCATCTCTGTTGCTCCCCAGGAGCTGAGCACAAATTCCTGTAATACGGAGAGCTGAGAAGATACCTCTCCCCTCCCTGTCTCTCTCTGTGTGCATATCTCTCTGTCTTGTTCTCTCTCTCTGTCTGTCTCTCTGTCTCTCTGTCTCTCTCTCTTTCCCCTCTCTCCCCCCTCTGTCTCTCTGTCTCTGTTGCTCTCTGCCTCTGCCTCTCTCTGTCTCTCTCCCCCCTCTCCCCCTCTCTGTCTCTCTCTCTGTGTGTGTCTGTCTGTCTCTCTTTCCCCTCTCCACCTGTCTCTATGTCTGTCTGTCTCTCCATCTCTCTCCCCGCTCTCCCTCTGCCTCTCTCTGTCTGTCTGTCTGTCTCTGTCTCCCTGTCTCTGTCTCTCTCTTTCCCCTCTCTCCCCCCTCTGTCTCTCTGTCTCTCTCTGCCTCTGTCTCTCTCTGTTTCTCTCCCCCCTTTCCCCCCCCCCC